CCGCGAACCCGGTTCCCCAGATTACGAATCTACCACTCTTAACCACTACACCACACTGGCTCTCGGTCTATGGGGCACCGCAACACCAAAAGACCCATGCCAGCCAGCCAGGCACCAAACCTGGTGACCAAACATCTCAACTTCCTCGCAAAAGGCTGTTTTTTGCCTGTTGCAAAATGCACCAGGCGCTCGGTTGATTTCGAACGCTGAGTTGTTGTTGGGAATCACGTTTGGGGAGAATGTTGTTGCGCTAGGGTTTTGCTTGAGTCCTTCCCATGAGCATCTTCTTGGCCATGGTGAGAACAGGACGCTTGTACTAGAAGGGCGTTTGGCCTGATCCAGCCAGACTCTGCTACTTCTCATCCCTTCTATGCAAAGTGGTGTCGCTGGGTGTCAAGCTCATAGTTCTCTCCCCGCCCCCCATAGGATATCTCTACATTTGCATCCTTATAAGCATAACAGCTTTACTTTTTATGATAGGCTAAAGCGCTACTGTTTTTAACAGCTTGCTAGTTGTTTACTGTGCAGAATCATACGGCCAGTCTCTCTTTAAAAACCCAACAACTTTTTGAAATTAGCATTGTGACCTGAGTGCCCTGCTTATGTTTGTGTATTCAGGTTGAGGTGGTGACTTTTTATAAATCGCCATTTTTGTCTGCTGAATGCAGCATTCTATTGAGGCTGAGACCTGGGACCTGGGTCCGTGATGAGATGCCTGCATGTGCTTGCATAATTCTGCTCCCAGTTTTCAGGGGGAAATAATAAACACCTTTCAGTCACAAGAGACGGCAACCCTAAACATTGTCATCTGGTGGGAAGCATTTATAAAATTAGTGGAATAAAACATATGGATGCAAACGCCTATACATTTTATGCATTCGCTCCTTTTTCAGAGTTTGCTTTGGAGGGATGAGCTAACTGCTTTGCTTTCTCCATCAGGCAATTAAAATAATTGTCAGGCTTAACTGCGCAGCGAAGTTTGCCACCTAGTTGGGAGACTGGGCTGACCTCACAGGATTGTCTGGCTGTGGTTTCCAGCCAAAGATTCACTCTTTGAGAGAGTCTCACTTCTAGTGCTGAACTATTTTTTGACTCTCTGAATGAATGCAATATGTTAACACTCCCGTAAGCCCCAGAATTGCTTGGCTGCCCCATGCCTTGCCTGCTTCATACTGGCTGAAAAGGTACCATTGTTTGTTCTGCAAACACTGGGCAATGTTTGTTTCCAAGGTGACTGCCTTTCTGTTGCTGCTGTGTAGGGAAGAGCAGGGGAAAGTTGGTTTAAACACCTGAGAGAGCATCTTGCTTTACAAAAAAAGAAAACGGGGGGGGGGGGAGAGAGAAAAGAGCTGCTCTTTGCAGAGTTCAGATTGAGTTTTAATCCTTATGCACGAATATGTTAACATAATTAAAAGCCTTCTTTCCATTGCCCTTCTTGATGTGTAAAGAAGAAGAAGAATGGAAAATTTATCAGATCAAATCATGGTGATGGCTTACAATGCACTCCCCCCCCCCAAAAAAAATCTGGGTCAGAACAATGACTGTGTGGAAGAAACCATTGAACCAGCAGCACAAAGCGATAGCTAATCTGTACAAAATGATAGCAAGCACAACGATAGCCTGGAAAATTTGGGAGAGCTCTGTTGATGTCCCGAGGAAGGTTGGCTGCTGAAGGCTGGGAGGACCAAAGTAATAGAATTTTTCTGGCACCCCCAAACCTTGGCTTTTGGCTTCTCGCTTTGCGAAACCGCATCATGCCGCCTCCGTCACAGAAACCTTGTGTTGTAATGTGCAGCGGCATAACTGCAGGCATTGAGCTTAATGGGATATTAGGTCATGCCTGTGTACCTGAGTAGGAGTCGGAGGACAGGGATGGGTAACCTGTAGCCGTCCCAGATGTTGCTGGGCTGCAACTCTGGCCATTGGCCATGCTTCTGAGGCTTATGGAAGTTGCAGTCCCAATAACATCTGGAGGGTCACAACTTCTGCACCTTTGCCTTAGAACAGATGCCAATATGTTTCTTCTGACAGCTTTTATTTGCTAACCTTGTACACATGTGATGTGATCTTTGGTTTCTCGGCTCCCTGCTGCTGCTCCTCCTTTTGTTTCTGTAGGAAGCAAGCTTAATGGATCCTTTCCCCAGACCCCAAGAGGCTGGTTTGGTACACATCTTAGTGTTTGGGTCAGCTGCTGTGCAGGCAGTGTAGAAATTCTTTCTTTTTTATTACTTGTTCTGATCTTTTGCTGCCTGCTCTTCTCTCCTCAGCCTCTCCCCCACTCCAAAACTACATACAATTTATTTGAAAATGGTTTGCTAAAAAGTCAAAATGTGTGCAGCTTTTTTTTAATGAAAAAGGTCAGAGATGCTGTTAGCAGAACGTTGCCTTTTTTCCTCCCTATCAGGTTTAGTACAGTTCATGCGCAGGTTTCAGTAAACATTAACCACTTTTATCAGGGCTCGCAGTGTGTGGAATAGTTAGCAAAGAGAATGTGCTGAAAGACACCGACAAAATGAACAAGTCCAAGGTCAAAAGGATGGAAGACTTTTATTATTATTATTATTACTACTACTATTTTTTGGTTTTATGTAAGGGGCTGGAGGGGCTGGAAAGCAAATCCATGCTCTTCCCTTCCATGCTTAAGGTGTAACTTGCAGTTAAAAAAAAAAAGCAGAGAGAGGCCATGAAGCTTGAGCAACGGTCCAAGAAAGTTAAACCATCCAGTCTCACACAAGTGCTTTTGTCAGGGGTGATTGCAAATTCTTGTGCATCAAAAAGGTGCTTCTAAATTGTGTCCTTTGAGGGCACATTGCTGCATCAGCTTAACTGCCTGAACTTATTGCCTGACTGAAAAAAAATAATAATGCCAATTTCTGGCCCTATCCTGTCTGCAGAAAGTCTTGTGCTTAGCATCTCCCACTTTGGATGGCAACAGTGTTGGAGAAAAATGGTCTGGAACTGGACCTGATCTTTTCCGTTTTCAAAATGTGTATCATTTTCAAATCTCGACATACAAATGAATGCCCTCCCCGATAAACGTGCAGTAAATTCTAGCCGTTATTATCTAATCTGTTCCATAACTAGAAAATTATATTGGCGAATTAATCTCCAGTCTACTTGCATGGCCTTCTCTAGACCAACAAAGCTTTGCTTCACTTTAAATGAGTAACTTAACCCAAGAGGTCTTGCCTGTAAAGTGCCATGAGGATTGAACTTTTTTGATCTCAAAAGTAAAGCACAAATTTAGGGTAAACAGATTTGCAGGTCACTTTGTTCTGTCTGAGCACGCTCTGTAGCCTTGCTGCCGTTGCGTCATGTTGTTGCTCATGAATGAAACCGATCGGCACTGACAGTGTGCAACCCTGGTTAGACCAAAGTTTGGGAGATGGTGTGTTGCGTAGTTCTAATTTGAAATGTTCTGGGGTTGGCTGTGGCTTTGCTTGGATGACACGAGTTCTCAACTGCGTAACGTGATAGGCATAGCTGTCCTTGTGCAAACTGAGCAGTTGTGAGATGTTAGTTTTGGACATGAAAATAGAAAGAGGCTTTCAAGGTAGTAAATGGGACATGAAGAGTGAGAGAGAGAGCTGTATCTGGTCTCTCTCACTCGTACTTTATAGATGCCTTCAAATCTCTGGCCCTAGCCCTAGGTTAAAATTCCCAGCTCTGTCATTAATCCTTCAATTGCTGTTCATAAGTTAAGAGAGTTATAAGATAGGAGGGAAGTGCAGGCTTGATGGGAAGAATTAAGGGATGCACTTGACAAACTGTTTACTTTGCACTTTGGGGATGTGGGAATCTCAGCTCGGGCAGCGGGATTGTGCCCTTAGCTGCTTTTTGCAAAATTTCTAAAGGAAAGGGGAGAAATGTTTCTTCTCATACATGGAAGCACAAAGTTAACTGTGAAATAAAACTACTGAACTACTGAGCTTGTTCAGTTGTACTGTGGCACGTATGCACACGCGAGGGTGCATGTAGTTGGTGATTAAAAATAGACTCTGTGTAGGGAAATTAGAGGAGTCTCCACATTGGAAATACTAGCTGCCTCATTCGATAAGCATTTTGCATGCCCGTGAGTCTTTAGTAAAGCCAGTCTTCTGTCATCTGGGCATATATTATACGCTGTCAGGTCTATTTCTTTCTTCTGTTTTTTAGCAATATCATGCCACCCATAGCTCCTAAAGGTTCAGGAGAGGCAAATGTAAGGTTGTTTGTGTGCTACACAATGTTGGAAGAACAATGCAATGGCAGGGTGTTTCAGATCCTTAAGAAGTTGTTTGTATGCAGAGTTTATTTTTTTTTTTGCAGGGGCTGAAAGCCATGTCATAACAAGAAGTTTTAAAAGTGTTTTTTTTGGTCTGCTTTTGGGTCTCTTATCTCTATGTGTGCATGCATTCAAATCACACCCCACCCCCTTAAAAAGAGAGAAAAGAACAGGGTGTGGAAGGAGAAAATGCAGGTGTTAGGATGGATTTAAGATGTCTAAAGTTTCTGGTACACTGAAAAGCTCTCTTTCTCCAGTGATGGATGACACCTTCTGCAGTAACAGTGCACTGCTGTCAGTCATTGGGTGCGGGGAGCAGAGCTGAACAGCTGGGTGGAGCTTGTTGATTGGTCCAGAGATGCCACATGGGGTTAGGGAGGAGGTGAGCCTCCGCAGCAGCTCCGGTTGGCTAATTTCCCTTGCTTGTACTTTGGCCTGCATCTTCATGCCTGTAGCTCTGGAAAGGGACCGAGAGGGGAGTGGAGAGAGATTACATTGAGAAGGCGGTATTGCAATTGCAGCCTTCGCATGGCTTACAAACACAGCTACCCTACTGTTTCAGATACTTAAAACTTTATCGACGTTTCAACAGATGGACTCGAAACCAGGAGAGAACAGGGAAGAGTTTAAAAGTTTTCTTTTGAGAGCATCAGAATCCCCAAAACGCTGGCCACGCTCATGATACTTTAATTCAAACAGTATTTTTTTTACCAACCCCCCCCTTCTATTTCTGCAGTTGCTGTGTTGCGGTGTCCATGATCTGGTGTGTTTTTGAGCTTTCCTGATTCGGGCAGGGCTAGTTCACTTCGACATAACAGCAAATGCTATGAAAATGAACAAGCCAATCTAGCAAAAAACTAGGTTTAGAAGCGGAAATTATAATACGAGAACCCAGATTTTCAGGCTCTGTTGGTCCGCTAGGTAAGTCGCTTGCGGCGCGTGCATCTCTGCGGCTCCTTAATAGCTAGTGGATGCAGCCCATAGTGGCAAGCAGAGCTCTGGCCCCACTCAGTCTGCATTTATTTCCTGGCACCACCCTGTTAAGGACACCGGCATTGCCCTTTGACATGCATACGTCGTTGGTGGGACTGGCATCATAAACTGTGTGGTGCCATCTAGCACATGCACCCTGGTCCGGCCCAAAGCCCTGCTCAGTGCAGCTAGAACCAGGTTGCGCCCTTAATGGCCTACCCACATGTACTTGGCTGGCGCCACTGCTAAGACTGTCAGCCCCAACTGTGGTGTATGTATATATTCTCTTTCTGTGTGTAGGGGTGCCAGTGCCATTAACAAGGCAGCACCCATGCCAAGGGGATGGATTTCTGCTTGCCGTAGCTGCCACCCAGCAGAGTTGCATTAGCTGATCTGGTACCAGCCCTTGGCATTTCCCCCCATCATGCTGAATACTGGCACCATGCCAGCGTGAAGCAGCCGGATTAAGATTGTTATCTTTAAAAATTGGGGAAATAAGTCATCTCCAAGCCTCCAGAGGATAATAAAATAGGAACCAGGCAAGCCTCTGCTCAAATCTCACCTGCTCTATAAGCTCACACGGAAACTTTAGACAAGCTGATATGTCTCAGCCTCTTCCTCCAGCCTGTAGTAGGGTAGAATGCTGGTCTACCTTACAGGGCTGGTGTCAAGAATACTATGCGAAATATGCCGAGCCCTTAGAAAACAACAACAGAATTTTAAGTTTTGCTTGCTTGTGGTTGTCTTCTAAATGTAGTTTAGAAAAGGAGCACTGCAGCTTTTCAAACAGGTGGGGAGTAGCATCTTCCAAACCCTGACCAATCCCATCTTTAACTTTTTACTACTAACGCTGCTACTTCTTTCTCTCTCTCAATAAATATGTTCCAAAGATTTCCTTGTGCTTTCTTATCACTAAAAGGCAATGTCCTTCCTGTCCTCTGCTTGAGTGCACCTGTTACTCCTTAAAACTAGTCCGTGGGACCAAAATGTTCTCAAAGAGTACGCGTATAGAACTTAATAATTTGGGGGTTTATTGTCTTGTTAGAAAAAGCTGTTCATTTCCTATATGTTGCCAGGAAGAGGAGGTTCATGTTGCTGTGGAATTGACAGCCTGGCATCGTTCAGGAAAAATAAAACACCTCTGAATATTCTTTTCCACATTGAAAAGGGGGACCCTGGTTTTGGGGTTGAGAGTACAAACCAGTTAAATTTGGGATGTCTGGAGATGATGTAAGATACCTGTTGGTCTCTTCAGGGAGATTTGTGAAGGCCAGAGACACAACTTGGTGGGAAATAAACAATTTTACTTACTGTTTCAACTCCCAATGTAACCCAGGAGAGGATTTGTGGACAAACATTTGCAAAATAACAGGGGCACCCCCTCCCCACTCGAAGGACAGCCTTGAAATATCCTTTTGGTCAATTATGAAGGTCACATGTGGACCGATCTCCTAAAATGAGACAGAACCTTGCACATATTAATGTTTTATACTCCTTGTTTCTCCCTTCCTGTTTCTCCTCCTGCAACCCCTCGACCTCCAGCTTGCTTGATGGCTTCACATACTGATCAAACATTGACATAACTGAGGTATTCTGAGCTCAGCTGGTTTTGTCTCAAGCGAGAGTCACCATTAAGGTGTGGGATCTGCAAACTGCTGTTCTGCCATCTAGACAGAAGGCATGGTCTACCTGTTGGATGTATGGACTGGGGTTCTTTATCACCCTGGTACCACTAAAGGGATACTGTTTTGTGTAAAAAGCCTCTGGCTGAATAGCTCAAAACTCCTTGAAACATTTATAAGGGGTTGGACTACAATGACAGTTAGCACCAGATGTTTCCTTTTTCTGGTGCAAGTGTGGAAATGGTGTAGCTGCTATTAGGAAAGCAAACTAGGTGCTCCTGTTTAGTTGATGAAAATGCAAAATCTGTATGTTGGGGTGTCAAAATGCCTTATTTTCCTGTTTTACTTATAAAGCGCATAATGCATGGTCTGTCTCTCCGCCCCCCCCCCTTCACTCAGCCTCCTCTTTGCCATTCCTCCTCCCCAACCCCAGCTTTCCATATATTTTCTATTATACTGTTCATTTTGCCTTGGGGCAACCTTTTCAGTAATGAGTGACAATGCTCAACAGTAGCTCTCATTCATTTTCAGCGCCACATGTGTGTTTATTTTTAATTGATATTCTGCATATAACATTTTCTGCAGCTGAGGCATCTCCCTCCCTCCCCCTGAAACACTTTTTTTTTAAACACTCCCTCTGAAAAGCGTCAGCAGTGGATTGTTTCATTTGCAGAACTTAAAGCCCCAGAACAGAGGCTCTTCCAGTTTTTATGAATGCCCTGTTTGTTGCTGGAAGCACAACTGTTCGATATAACTGGCTGCATCCCACTCTGCTTGGGTCCAGTTTGGTCTGCAGAAGGTCTTTTGCACAAACCAGATTTCTTGGGTGTGTTTGAAGCAACATCATTTTGTCTTCTGGCAGTTGAGTTCTTTTTTATCCCTTTCCATCTGTAAAAAGAGTAATGCACCTTTTCCTCCCCAGATGCAGTCATAATCAATCAATCAATCAATCAATCAATCAATCAATGCAGCAGTGCAGATGAGAACTGCACAGTTGTTATTTATCGGACATGCTCAGGTGGTGATGGCTGTAACGTTTCTTGCTTTCTGTATATTTTGGGGCTTCTCTTAATGATCCCTTGCAGATTTGCAGAGGTCCCTCCGAATGACACATTGATTAATAATAAGCACCTGCTATGCCCCACCTTAGAGCAGAGAAGGAGCTGCCTAGCCCAACTGGCAAGGTTGACAGCGCTATATTTCAACCTCTCTGGCTTGGCTGTCACTGCAGGTATTGGAACATTTGCAAGAGGCACTTGAGGCTTATGATGCCAATGCTTTGGGTGGCTTTGCAGAACAGGAAACAGAACACAAGTGGAGGTAGTACAGTTATTTGGGTGGGCTGGAATTATTATTATTATTATTTTAGTTGCAAACACCAGCTCCCTTACTTAATCTGGATATCCAATCAAGTAGGGGCAGTGGGGTGACTGGGAAAATAAAAAAAATGGCTGTCCCTTGTGCTTATTCAGCTTGTGTGCATTCTTATTGATGAGAAAAGTCTTCAAACACAACCTCAGGACACTGCTTGTTTTAAAGAGCTGGATGGAGGAAGTTTCAGTGTGTTCACCATCTCATACAACAATGAGAGGAGTGGTCACTATAGGAATTCCAACCCCTGCAACCATTTAAAGACTCAGAAGCCTTGTTCTCTTTTGCCTCTTTTTTGCAGAGCAGGGTCCACAAATGTCCTTGTCACCTTGTCACTGGAAACTGTGTGTTGTAATTTGGTATGTGTAGCATCAGGAGAAGATATACAAAATTAAAAAATTCCGGAATGGAAGCTGTTAGACTGTTGTAGCCCAGGCCCAAATTCAGATTGATGTGAGGAAATTATCTCGAGGGAGGGGTTCATAGGGCTACATTGACCCTGTTGGTTTTGGGGTATTGCATTGGCTCAGCACAACTTTTAAGCAGATTCTTCTTTGAAACAAGAATAAAATTTATTCCAAAATATTCAGGCTTATTCAAAGTAGAGTATCAGTACTTTGAGGGTACAGTGTTAAAGCAGCTGATGTATGGCCTGTTCCTGATTGTTATGCTAAGCCAAATGATGGTTCAGCTGGACCGGCTTGTGGGCTCTGGAAGAGGCAATAATGGTCAGTTCATTCCTCCCTTCTAGTTTTGCTGCTGTGCTATGCCAACAAACCATGACTCAGAAAATCACAGGAAAAACCTTGGTTACAGCTTGTGGTTAGCGTAGAGAGAGCTAAATTGTGTGATTTAGGATTGGATCACCTGGAACTGTCAGTGTGGAATGGCAGTAAAGTGACTGCTGACCAGCAGAGCTGCTGTGATCTCCTTTCCAGGAGCTCACGCATTTGTTCCAAACCATGGTTCAGCTTAGGGTGATGTCTGAACCATGCCACTATGAGCTTTACCATGGATCTCACTTCCAAGATTTTCAGTTCTTTTTACACACACACACACACACACACACACACAGCCACAGCTCTGTCTGTCTAGGGCTTGGACTGCTGAAGCAGCGTCCTGGGTCCCAAGAGACCCTTGTCGTGCTTTTCATTGAAAAAACGATAAAAGGAGCGAAAGGGCCTCAAGCAATAAATAGGTCCTTGGCAAAGCCATGCACACCTGGAGAAAGGGGTAACTTTGCAGAGCCGTGAGGCTGTGTTACTCCAGATTCTGTGTTGTAATGCTGGGAATTGTAACAAAGTGGGTCTCAGAAACTGGGCCTCATGGGTTTTGAATGGTACGGAGGCTTGCTTTTAGAACTTTGTGCCTAGCTTTCTGTCCAGCTCAGCTTTTGCACTGAGCATCTCTGAAGTGCATTCAAATAACCTTACTAGGCTTTGAGAAGCCTCTTTATTTCCAACCTTCCTCTTTCCTCCTTCTCTGCTCTCGGTTTTTTTTTTTTGTTAACTGCTCCCTTGCCATGATTGATGTCAGCTGCTTAACAGCTGCTGAACATCTTCCTCTTTCCATCACTAGAATGCCCTCTTTTCTCTGCTGTTGTGTCCTGTGGTAAAGTTTAGCAGTTTCTTGTTAAGCAGGCAAACCTCTTATTTCCCCCCTCCCCTTCCTTCCATTGACATATATACATGCATGTGCCCTTGCAATGCTAAAGGAAAGGGTTTTGGGTTTTTTTACTGCATGGGAGGTGGGGTGGTTTGCAAGTTCGGACTGGCTAGACTTGTTATATTTATTTGTCGCTTACTGCAAAAAAAAAAAAAAGTCTCAAAGCGGTGTACAGTTTTTAAAAAAGCTTTACTTTGAAAAAAGGTGTTTTATTTGAGAACATTCGGTTTTCGCAGTAGGAGAGGTGGCTAAGAGGGATAAAGGAACTTAGGAAAGCAAAACGCTCCGAAC